TTCTCATCTAACGATAATAAAGTATTATAATCACTCCCTAGGCAAGGACTTTGATTGGAAAGCCTGACAACTGGCTGCCGTTCAGCCATCTATCACTAAGAAGGGGGTTGAAGTTTTTAAATCCCAGGAGGCATTAAGTGCCTAACAGAATCAGCCACTGTATTTAACCGCTTTCCTTTTTAATTTCAATGTCAGAAATCATCACACAGGTACTATCTTGTGTCAGTAGCAAGTGGAATCAAATTCAATTTTATCCTTTCCCAGTCAACAATATAGTTAATTCCATAATCTTACAGATAAAGGAAGGAAAGCTCTTTGCCTGCTAGTAATGACAGAAAACTAGAATTATTATGTAATTACAAACAGAAAGTTAAAAAAAAAAATAAAGAAAAGAAAAAAAAAAGAGAACTTGCCTCTGGAGACTGGACTCAGGTAAACAGCCTGCAAAACACTTTTTAAACCAGAGATCGTAAGGGAGTTTGCTCATCGCAGCACACGCTTTCAGATGCATCAGGAGTCTGTTATCTTCAATGTTCAAATACTGCTCCAGAAATTTGGGCTGAGAAAGGAAAGGGAGAATTTTAGATAACTCACATCAGAGTATTCTTCACAGTTAGCATACCTCTAACACAAGAAAGATCTTAAAAATACAATCACCAGAAAGTAACACGTTAAAATTACAAAACTTGTATTTTGGAACACAATGCATTAGATAAAGCAATGCAAGTGTTTCTCATTTTTGTAATTAGCTAACTAAAAACTTAACCAAACAATTAAGTTCAGGCTCCTTAAACAGCTGATCACTAGTAGAACTTCCAAAACAGGCAGAATTTCCTAATCCAATGAGGTGTTTGGCAGTTTAAGGCAATGCAGAGATAAAACATGCACTAATTACTGCTATCTTCCCCAGTAAAATTAAGTTTAATTCACCTCAAACCTAATCACCTTAGTGGACATAAAAAAAAAAAAAGATAAATCTACTCATAATGCAGCAAAATCCAAAAAATGAACGTTGAAAGCAAATCCTAGTGCAATATATTAAAAGGCGGACACTGATTTCTTCTTTAAAAATCCAAAGTACTTAAAAGCACAAACATGTGGATAATTCCTGTTCTGTTTACACTCTAACGTAACACTATGCATTTCCATAAATTGAGGAATACCTGTATGCTGTTTGTCATGATTAGGCAAACAGCTAACGGCTTCAGCTGTCAAAGGGAGACAGCACCTCCTTGGTCCATATTCTAACATCTGGAGTCTTGGTACAACATTCATATTTAAAAAGCCAAAACAAAACAAAAACGAGGGAGGGAGACACTTGCCAGTCTCTTTGTAGTAAAAGCACACACTTTCTTTAAAAATCTCCTCTGTCCTTTGACTGGAATTTCAGAAACTGCTATAATCGACCGTATTACTCCAGCAAAGAGGTAGGTTTTTACAGAGTATTTCCTAGTTCCAGAAGAATAACAAGCAAAGGACACCTGTAATTTTCTGCAATGGATTTTCATTGCTTGTGCACAGGTACTCTTGACTGTTTTATCTCAGTGGATACTGTCAACTACAAGTTTTTTATCTGTTAAGGCTACCTAAAGTTATAGAAGCTTTTGTAATTTCTATAGGTATGCATTTTCCTTACAATCAAATTTTAATTTTATAAACCAGTAAGAAATTCAAAATTAACATTCTATGAGAGCCTTTAAACGAAGGGTGCCAAAAGAACTCTATTTCACTTTTATTACAACTTGATTTGCAACATACTGTTTTTCTGAAGAGTACTAGCCTGTTCCATTTACAAAACAAATGTGCTTTGTCTGTCAGTCAAGGAGCAGCATATGGATGTCAGAGACACAGCCTAAAAAGCAGCAGTCATCCATCAAGATGTTCCCAACTATGTGATGTTTTCAATTATTTAAAACAAAGGAATTCTTGAGTGACCAATTTGTGAGAAATACAGTTCAACTTGATACAACATAAGCTTTAGCCAATCTAAAACGAAAATGAGATTTAACTGAAAACTACCATAGAGCAAACAAAAGCAATTTTTACTACCTTATGTCTAACATAAAGACAAAGTGTCCTACAGGGCAGCAAAATCACACCACCAAAAGCATTCCTCCTGGTTTCTCAGAACGGTCGGTGGAACAGAATCCACGGGTGTCACCTCTGACACTCCTGTTGTCTCCATGCACGAATGCGCTTCATGGCTGGCTCTCCTCACGCACACACACAAAATAAAAACAGTTCTTTTTCCTTACCAGTTGTTGCAAGGAATCTTTGTGCTTGCTGTTCAGCTGATTCACAAAGCAACTGACAAGCCAGTAGCATTCTATAGGGTCCTCCACCATCTCCTCCATTGCTTTCGCAATAGCAAGGAACACTTCGTCCTCAGGGTCCTGGCAAACACAGGCAAAAACGTGAACCCCACAGCAGTACCGGACTATCCGATTTACACCATTCTTAGGTTCCTTTTCCCTGCTAGCTAGGAAAACAAACTGCAGCCAACGCAGACAACGAGCGATTCTGACATTCATAAATAAAACACGAGGCAGCAGTTGCGTGATGGTGACAGATACCTCCTAAAGCAGAACAATGAAGCCTTGTCTTGCTTTTAAAACCAAAAACGTTCAACAGCAGTTCAGAACAACTTCGCTTCCCAGTTCCCAAATGAGATACTACTACACCCTACAGAGGCAGCGGTAATCCCACATCTACGCCTCATCTTTGTGTACTGTACAGCAGCACAACTTTTCATCCTGCTCCTTGCTGAGGGCTAAGCAGCCCCTCAAACACCTTTATCATGGATTTTACCGAAAACAATCACATAGCCAGGAGCTGCACACCTACCTTCAACATACGCAAAACCATTTCGTTTGAGACAAACACCTTCCCAGATCAGTTCAGACTAACACCAAAAGGAGGTCAGTACATTAAAGTCCAGATTTAAAGCCAACTACTTTAGATACACGATGCAATTTGCAACACATCACTGCTTGTACTGGCTCTGATTTATCCTTGTTCCCAGACATTTAAGAATCTTTGAGCTCTGATAAGACTATGTCACCTTCAGTTCAGTGCCATAAAGAAACTGAAGCATACTAGCAGGAAAGATTTGGAAGCCTCACAGAAAAAATATACGAAAGAGATCCTAAGGCATAAGATGTCACATAAGCACTTACGGGGAGAAAAAGAGCAAAGCACTTTGACTGACATCACTTATTTTATACTAGTACTTCTGTTTTCCATTCACTTTTGTCCACCTACATGCGTTTGTGGGGCTACTTGCAGCTCAGTCTCTTGCAGGTTTACAGTTTGAAGTTAAATAAAATACTGTGTTTAAAAGACTATTAAAAATGACAACTGACCAATGGAAAAGCCAAGTTTCGAGGCAATTTTCCTGATTCCAGTTGATGTATGCGGAGGAAAACATCTACCTGTGGGGTAGAATCATTAACAAAACGAATTACACGAAGAGCATGGTGAACATCCCAGTACTGCTCCTTCCGGTACTTCATCACCAAAGCATGAGATTCATGGTGAGGAGGAATAATTCCTGAAAAAAAATATAAAACAAACAAAATAGAACAGGAAAAACAAATAAGCCACCGCGAAACTCGCTGTCCAAGAGATCTGCCTAAATTCAATTTCTGCTGCAACTTCAGCCTACAGAAATGTAAAACCTGGCACTGCAGTTGGTTTACAAACTTGGTCAAAGAATACAGGGAGAAAATTCTACAAAAATGCAAGTCAAAGGACCAACATCTTATCTTAGCATTATATTTAGAAACCCAGATTTCATATGTCAACAGAGCATTGGCAAAATCTGCCCTCAGAGTACTGCTTCTCGAGCTCTTCTGCAAGATTTTCAGCAAATGAACACTAGTTCAGCATGCTAATATGAAATGTCACTTTTGGGACAGATGAAAAATGATTTATTTGGTTTATTCTCCCTCTCCAACTCTTTTCATTTGTGAATCTCACTCGTTACTTGGTTATACCTACCTGCAGTTCTTAATACAATACTAGTTGCACATTTGTGCGCAGCTTCCATTTATTTTGAAAACAAAGTGGATGCAGAATGATTTATTAAACACACCAGCTGCCTGTGTTCTCCAAGATGACTCGAGTATATATAAATTCAATTAGCTAATGCAAAGACACTGTATGTTCCAGTAGTGTTTAATTTACTGCTGGAAAGCTCTTTACTCGCTGTATCATGGATTAATCCTCTCTAAAACAACATCCAGAAGCGGTATTACACACACAAGTTGAATTGGTTACAGATTAAAACTTAAGAATACCACCCAAACACTTCGCAGGGTAACGTTTTTTTGTTTGTTTTCTACTTTTTTATCTCTCATTTAGAGACTTTTAGTACCAAGCACATCAGACAGAAAATTATCTCCCTTTTCCCAACTGCAGCCTGTTTGCATTTCAGAGACGTCGCTGACACACTGTGTAACCTGGGACAGCACCAGGACTTGGTATATGCCTGAGATAATTTTGTGGGCAGGACAGAATCCCTTTTGTTCAGCTAATTAACATTATTTAGAGGAAATGCAACACGTCCCATCAGAAATGGACTGCGCTGGTGTCTCAGTCATTTAGGAAGAGATAATTTGTTTTGCCCTTCTGAATCCTAGCTTTTCTAAGCAGCGCTAACACTGAGACGCAGCGTAAAGAAAGTGCTTGCACCTCTGTCCACCCAAGGAGCACACAGAACCACGGTATGTGTACCTGAAATACATCATTTGGGGTTACAAATGGCAGAGGCCTTTATCAAGTAGGACTACTCAGTTTGTTCAATGACCAAGGGCAGGAACTTCAAGTTTTATAATTAGATCTCACACCTTCTGCACGCTGTTCAGCTACCATCTCTCCCCCAAAAAAAGCCTTACAAATCCAAACAATCAGGAGTATGAAGCCACTATTTTTAAAGTGTAGAAAATCAGAAGGGGAAAAAGAAGTAAAAAAACCCGAAAAGGTTGTTTAAAACTCAGCTAGAGCTTTCTAATCCATTATTTCAAGCTCCAGACACAGTAGTGGAACACAGAGACCAAGAAAGGAAACAGAAGACATGTACTTGAACATCGTTCAAGACCATGGCACAGCCTAAGATTAATAAACACCCTAACAGAGAAAGAAAAAAATAGGCTAAATATGTATCAGTAGGCAAGGTGGTACAGAATAATCCATGTTATTAACTCTCCAAAGAAAAAAAATAAAATACACCTTCCTACACACTCATTTCTACAGAGAATCACAGATGTTCTATTTCATACCTAAAAGCACTTTCCACACCAGTATGCGGTACATGGACGGGAGAGGGAACCTTTGACTAAATGTGCTAAGCTTCTCAATATCTGTAGAGATATAAACAGGAAAGAAAAAAAAAAAGGTAAATTTAAATATAATCATAAATGAGTCTTTGATCTGAGTATGACAAATCCTTATCTGCAGATCAAATTCCCCACTTTCACTATACATTATCGATAAATGCTTTTACTACTTCAACTGAGAATAGAATGTGTCTCTAAACTGCAGTAATTTTGGAAAATATGTACATTGGCTTAGTTTACAGTAAAACTACTCCAGGTTACACCAGGAAGAAACTGCATCATTTTTATAGCTGCTTTGTAAATCACATTGCTATGTCAAAACAATTAAGGGACAACATTCACACTGGCAATCCCCAGCAATCAACAGCAATAACAAAATCTTGTTTTGAGGTTAGATGACATTAACAGCATGAGGTGATATATTTTCAGGTTTAAACTGCTTTTGTTACAAAAGCTTTTAGTTTCTTGGGCACAGAGAAAATATGAGAGAGGAAAAAAAAGAAAAAACTGTTCGAGATTTAGCTGCTTGCTCGTTTCTAAAATCTTTGAAAACTCAAAGGACTGCTAGTAATACCTAAAAGATGAGCAGTAAAAGATGTAAAACTTAAATGAGTACCAAGTACAGCAGCCAGACATTTTCTGTTATTCCCTCTCCAACCCCAAATAACCAAAGTCATAGAGGCAAACAGTGAAATCAACTTGCCCAAACGGTCATCTTTTAACAGAATTTCCAGTGATTTCTTTTCTTCAACTCCACGAAACCCCACTTTTTCATAATACACTGAGCGAAAGTTTCTCTGCGAGTCGTCAGCCATGATTGATTCCTGTTGGAGAAACAGTAATTCCCCTTAAAACTTACAGGATACGTTCCTATCGCATTAAAGTACTCGTGCAAACTGACAAAAAAGTTGACCACCTACAACACTAACAAATCCTGCAGAATATGAAAATCTTCCAACATTTTTTTATGCTAACATAAGACAATTATAAAAATAACTGAATCTAAACAAGATCTAAAGAAATCAAATTTTCAAAAGAAACTCCGGGATTTAAAAAAATATACATTCTGTTCCTGTACTAACTTATATTGCTTTTCAAAAAGTTTCAAAACAAAATGCTGGAGACACACTTAAGTCTTGTACATTGACACCACATATTTGGAAACCAATATAAAAAAATACCATGGAGAGTCTGATAAAATTTTGGCTACAGAAACCCAAATCAAGTACAGCTGTTACCCAGATAAATAAAATCGGCAGGGTTCACACTCACCAGACGAGGCGGCAGCCAGAAGCAAGGACAAGCCAATGTTGGCCTCAGTAGCACGGGAAAGAATAAGGCTGGGCAGGTAGGTTTGTTCTTAAGTCGCAGATTTGAATTAAATGTTCATGTTGTTATCAGGCGCTGTAACAGCCACGGTCTTGAGGTTGTTATTCCAGTATTAAAAAGCAACAGATGTCTCATCCCTATACTGGAAAGGACAGTAAATCGCAGTGAGTACTCTATGTTTTGTAACACACGTAACTGATATTTCAATTCAGTTCAATTTTATAAATACCAATTTTCTCTCCTCTGCAGGCCTGCAGACATGAGAAAGTTCCGTCTTGTAGCACAAAGGACTAGAAATAACTTTTATGCCATGACAGCAGCTGAATTTGAAGAAAAAGAATTTGTTTTGAGTGAGGAGCAGGGGCTGAACAAGGCATTGAAAAGCTTTTCTAGTTAAATTCTTTTCTGCGCTGAACGAAATACACACGGGGCGAAAAGCACTTGCATATACAAACCAAGGCCACGATTTTGCAAAGAATGAACAGATTTAAATTTGTACATCCACTAGGTCCATCTTTAGGGCTTTGTAGGATCAGGGCCAAGACCAGATAGAAAAATAAAAACCAGCAAAGGGCTGAATTAATGGTTTCCAAGCAAGATAGGCCAACTACTATTCCAAAACCAGAGAAAAAACATTTAGGTTACTTGTGAAATATCCCATTTGTGTAGTATCCCCACGAAAAGGGCTGTGGTGTTTGCGTATTGTGCGTTTAAGGATGCACAGGTCGGTGTTCACGTCTCAGAGCAGACTCACTAGGCCACAGACACTCAACTACAGTTACAATATTTTTTGCATTTAATACACGCTATTCAGAAAACAACTGGCCCGTACCACCCACGGCAAGCCGACAGCAGAGTCACAGGACAGAAACACCAGAAAACATTTGAAAAGTAACAGAAAGGAATGCTACCGTGATCGTTTTAAACCACCGCTGCACCAGCAGCACGTTTTATCCACTCAGTGGAAAACAGGAGGCTCCTCCCTGCGGGTTTAAGATACATATTGTCATGCCAGGCCCCCATCTTTACACACACCGACTGCACAAAGAGCGGAGGGGATGAATCCCAGAGCCAGCTCAGGGGCCATTAACTCCCCCCGCCTCGAAACCTCAGCGCCTTCTGGGCCAGCACAGCGCTGCATTAACCCTCACGCCAGGTGATTTCAGTGAAAACCCCAACCCCCTCCTGCCCCAAGACCCTTCCTGGCGCTC